CTGCCGCCAGAACCAGCAGCAGCATAGGCTGCTACCAGCAGAACCAGCACCAGCATAGACTCCCCCCCCCCCAGCAGAACCAGCAGCAGCATAGGCTGCCCCCAGCAGAGCCAGCAGCATTATTGGCTGCCCCCAGCAGCACCAGCAGCAGCATAGGCTGCCCCCAGCAAAACCAGCAGCAGCATAGGCAATAGCCAGCAACCGCTCCTAGCCGCTCCCCACCGCGCTCGGCCGTCTCTAGCGCCTACCATGGTGTGTGCCAGGGTTTTGCAGCATGCAGCAGGGTTAGCCGCAGCGACAGGAGCTACAGAACTTCCGGCAGTGGGGACCCGAGGGTCTTAGGAGTACCGGCCGCAGCAACTACTCACCCGGTAGTGGGCGCGACATCGGTCCCTGCGAGTACCGGACCCTAACTGGCCCGGGTGCTAACACCACCGGCTGGAGTCCTGACCACTCAACGTCCCACTGCTACTGTCGCCTCAACGACCTCCACCATGAGCGCTTTGGTCCCCACGCTATCACACTGCACTGCTGCACCAGTTGAGTCTCACATACCTGGTCTATGACCTTTCCCGGCTGCACGAGTAGAGACTTGTGTTTCCAGTCTTGGTGCGCATGTTGTCTCCAGCCCAGCCGCCTTTGAGCGTCTTTGTGTAGGAGCAGCAGCTACCACTAGTCTAGCACCAGCCTTTGTCGCTGGCTCGAGTGCGACCTCACGAACTGCACAGATTTCCTTCACCCCAGACTCTGGAGTGTCCAGCTGCTCCTTTTGGGACTGTACTAACCTTACATCACTGCGCACTACAGTCACTGTCGCCTTGGTTGACCCCACCGTGCACTCCTTGCGTCGAGGGTCGGCAGTGCGCTGCCCCTCACTCCTCCTCGTTCCCCCCCACCACGGCTCCCTTCCAGACCTTGCACTTGGACGTCTGGGGTCCCTCCCCGGTCTTTGGCCCACGTCAGGAGCGCTACTTCCTGATTATGGTGGACGACTAATCCCACTACACCACGGAATTCCCCTTGCGACGGAAGGCCGATGTGCCTACCATCCTCAAGCCGTGGATACTAGCGAGGGATGGCGCCCACGCCCTTTTGTAGGCTCCGCCTGCACTCAGACCGTGGTGGTGAGTTTTCTTCCACTCGCATAGAGACGTTCTGTCAGGGTCGAGGTTCATCCAGTCTTACACGCTACTAGCCTCGCTGCAGCAGAACGGGGTAGCCGAACGACGCATCGGCCTGGTCATGGAGGTTGCCCAGACCTCCATGTGCCATGCCGGTGCTTCCCAGTTCTTGTGGCCTCAAGCAGTCCGCTACGCTGTGCACCAGCTGAACCTGTGGCCCAGTGACGCATGGCCACGGGTGACGCCGGTCTCCCTTTGGACTGGTTCTCCGGGCGTAGCAGCTGACTTCCGCGTCTGGGGTTCTCTGGCTCACGTTCATGCCTCTGGTGCGAACAAGTTGTCGACGCGCACTCGTGCCTGCATCTTTCTTGGCTTCCCTTTGGACACCGTTGGCTGGGTGTTCTACGACCCACTTACCTACGAGTTCTTCAGTTCCCACGACATCACGTTCGACGAGTCTGTCTGTAAGTACACGAGTCGCCCCCACCAAGGTACTGAGGTCTTTTCCCCCCCACTATTCCTCACCCTTGAGCCCCCCCTAGTCGCCCCGGTAGCCCCCCCCTCCCTTCGCGTCCTGCCCCGTTAGGTTGTGTCGCACGTCACTCCACGGTTGTCCCCCCCGCGGTATCCAGTCCCTGTCGTGTCTGGGGGTGCGTGAGGTGCAGTTGCGGAGGGTGAGGGTGCTGGGGCTGCTGGAGCTGGTGGTGTTGGTTCTGGGGGTGCAGGGAGTGTGGGCGAGGAGGTCACTCCGGTGGAGGACACGGCAGCCTCGACTCGGCGGCCTCCCCCCGCGTCACCCCCTGGCTTCCCGTCCGTCCTAGAGTTCTCTCCTCTTTTTTCTCTGCGGGGGTTGCTGCGGAGCCTGGGGGTGTTCCTGCGGGAGGTACTGGAGGCTTTGGGGGTGTCTGTGGTGGAGGTGCTGGTTCTAGTCAGAACAGTTCCCACGACATCACGTTCAACAACAGTTTCCGAGAGGACAGGCAGTTCGAGCTTGGTTTCCTTGCGGCTGCTATTCCTCATCTCTGCGCCATGCTGCTTGCCCGTGAGGGGGATCCAGAGGCCCTTGACCTCCCGATCCTTCGCACACACGCTGAGGCGGTCTCGGGACCTTGGGCCTTGTACTGGATAGCAGCTGAGGAGGCAGAGATGGCATCTTATAGGTCCACAGGCACCTACGTCGACGCCGTTCCGCCACCTGGGGCGAACGTTGTCAGTGGCATGTGGCTCTACAAGGTGAAGCGGCCGCCTGGATCACCACCAGTATTCAAGGCACGTTACGTGGCGAGAAGCTTCAGTCAGCAAGAAGGGGTAGACTTCTTCTAGACCTTTGCTCCCACCTCGAAGATGACCACTCTTCGAGTGTTGCTGTATATTGCAGCACAGCGCGACTACGAGTTGCACTCCTTGGACTTCTCCACCGCGTTCCTTCAAGGGAGCCTGCATTAGCAGATCCGGCTGCGTTGTCCGCCTAGCTTCGTTAGCACTTTCCCTCCTGGGACCCAATGGCAGCTGCGTCGACCGGTCTATGGCCTGCGTCAGGCTCCCCGCGAGTGGCACGACACACTACGTACGACTCTTGCAGCACTTGACTTCTTTCTGTCGTCTGCCGACCCGTCGCTGTTCGTCCGCCGTGGCTCGACCCCGTTCTTTCTTCTGGACTACGTTGACGACCTGGTCTTGGCCACTCCCGACCGGCGCGCACTGGCCTCCATGAAGAAGAAACTACAGAGGAGACACACTTGCACTGACCTTGGTGAGCTACAGCGCTACGTTGGCCTGCAGATCACCAAGGACAGGGCAGCTTGAACCATTACGCTAACGCAGCCGTATATGGTCGAGCAGATCCTCACACGGTTTCGCTTCACGTTCTCCAAGGTACAGCCCACCCCTCTTGTTGAGGATCATGTGCTCACGGCTCCACCTTCGGACGAGCCATTTGAATCTAGTGGTCCATATTCTGAGTTTGTAGGTTGTCTCATGTACCTGATGACCTCTACTCGCCCTGACCTAACTTACCCTCTTAGCGTCCTTGCACGCTTCGTTGCGCCTAGGAGACACCGACCTTCCCACTAGTACGCTGCTAAGAGGGTGGCAAAATATGTGGCGAGTATATCAAGCATGGGACTTGTCCTTGTAGGGAAGTAGCCAGTTACACTTACAGGCTTCTCAGACTCGTCGTGGGCCGACGACGCGGAGTCGCTGTGGTCTACATAGGGTTACTGATTCAGCCTTGGGACCGGAGCTGTTTCGTGGAGGTCAACTCGAGCGTCTTCCATCTTTAGTTCCAGCTGTGAGGCAGAGGTGTACGCTGTGGCCATGGCCATCCAGGAGCTTCGCTGGCCATCTTTCCTCCTCACCAACCTTGGTGAGCGGCCTCGCTCTCCCCCAGTCTTGTTGGCCGACAGCATGTCTACTACCTTGTTGTGCGAGGAGTCCCGACTGGTTGGGAAGGCGAAGCATGTCCAACTTCGTTACTCCTTCTGCGAGAGTTACAGCAGCGTGGCCAGGCACTCGTGCAACGTGTGGTCTCTAAGGCCAACATGGCAGATATCTTCACCAAGGCGTTGCCGCCTTCTGACCACCAGCGTTTCTGCACTCAGCTTGGCCTTGTGTCTGCTGGCCCGCACTTGCTTGCGTAGAGATGCTTTGTCTTGTACTCTTGCATCTCACTATATCACATATATATCTGCTTATAGACAGGCCTTATGGCCCCTTGCTTTCGTAGAGATGCTTGTCATGCATGTCTTGTATTCTTGCATCTTCTATATTTGCATGCATGCGGACTGGCCATGTTGCCTCTTGCTTGTTCTCGGACAGTGTGGTGATTTTGAGATCCACCCCGAGCCTTGTTTTGTTCTTGTGAACTGGTCTTGGGACCGTTGCTTGCTCTTGCTGAGTGGTCCTATGACCCTTGCTCGTAGACTGTGTGTTACTTTCCACACGACTACCTTCACCTAGACTATGGGGGTGCGTGAAACTATAATTGTTATGGTTTGTATTTGCTAGTTTATGTGGTGTACACCTATGTTTGGGGTTGGCTAGGGTTGACCAGGGTTTGCTATATCCTCCTTGTCTTTGTCATTTCTAGTCATTCATTATTCCGTTACCTTGTACACACTCTCCTCCTCACTGCACACACCCCCCACCCTATCAGTGACGTGCCGTCCATGCGCCGCTCCCTTCCCTACGCCACCACCCATGCTGCGGCGCAGACTGCCTGTGCTGGCGCATGCAATGTTATGTGGGAGGAGCAGTAAGGTAACACACACTTGCAAATACCCCACACAGGTGGAAGGTACAACAACAAAGGACAGTGGCAAGGACAGTGGCAAAGGGCATGGGTGAGGGCACACCTGAGTTAGAACACACCTGAGCCAGGGCGTGGGTGAGTGCGCACCTGAGCCAAGGCGTGGGGGAGGGCACAGCTGAGCCAGGGCGTGGGTGAGGGCACACCTGAGCTAGGGCGTAGCGAAGGGCACACCTGGGCTAGGGTATGGGGGAGGGCACACCTGAGCCAGGGCGTGGGTGAGGGCACATCTGAGCCAGGGCGTGGGTGAGGGCGGCATCAATGGCTTCCAGAAACGTGAGCTCTGAGAATGTTTCCTCGCTGCTGCTCATGTTGCCCTCCCTGCTGCTGATTGTGCCCTCACTTCTGTTTATGTTGTCGTTGCTGCTGCCATCGCCGTCACCGCTGCTACTGCTGCTGTACGGGCTGGGCTGGTCACAATATATAGAAGCTGTGTTGGTGGCGCCAATGGTGCTCCCATCTGCTACTCGCCCTCCTGCTCCACTCCACACCTCCCCACCTCTTCGCCCATCTCCACCCCCCTCCAATCGCAGTGCTTCTTCCAACGTCTCCCCGGCTTGCAACCTACTACCCTATGCTGGAGGCGTGGCGTCCCCACATGCTGCGGAGGAAGCACCATGCGAGGCTCTCTCGAGGCCACCCTGGGGAGCAGGCGGGTTACCATCCTCACGGGCAGGCGGGGCGGCATGGGCAGCAGGCGGGGCAGCATGGGCGGCGTCCATGAGGCGGTGCAGGTGCAGGGCGGTGGAGCCGTAGCCGCTGCGCACGTGCACTGCGATGGCCACCTCGTACAGCTCCCTGCCAGCACGGAGGGCGGGTAAGGGGTGCACGCCCGGCACTCCATTGCACGCCAAGGTGTGCAATGAAGGGAAGGAGCAGATCGTGATGGCATGTCATGCAGCACCAAGCATCCTGCCCTCCCATGCACTCCCCACCCAAACCATGCCCACCACTGGCCTCACCACTACGTCACCCACCACTACCTCACCCACCGCTGCCCTCACCCACCTCTTCCCTCACCCACCACTGCCCTCCACCGCTGCCTTCACCTGGTGACAGGGCAGCCGTCGGCCTCCACGGCGGGCAGCAGGCGCTTGGCCGCCAGGGTGGTCTGCAGACACGTGGAGAGATCGGTGAGGGGGTGCACGGGGTGAGGGGGTGCATGGGGCAAGGGGGTGCAATGGGGCAAGAGGGTGCACGGGGTGAGGGGGTGCATGGGGCAAGGGGGTGCACGGGGCAAGGGGGTGCACCGGCGAGCCACAAGGAGATGTGACGAGAGTACATGTGGCATGCAGTATGGAGGGATAAGAGCAGAGCAGACATGAAGGATAGGACAGGGCGGAGGTTAAGGAATGACATGCGGTGCGGTGTGGGCATATGGCAGCTTCACTCCATCCGCCCCTGTGCGGACCTCCCAATCCACCACCCCACGAGGCATACACACACATACACACATGTACGCACGCACACACACACACATGCACGCACACATACAGACATACCACACACATACTCACCACACACACACGCATCCACGCACGCACGCACATATACATGGCATGCACGCACACACACTCACACACACAAACACACATGCACACATACACACATACATGTACGCACACATACACACACATGCGTGTGCACACACACACACACACATACATGCACGCACACGCACACACACATGCACGCACACACACACACGCACATACATACGCACATGCACGCACGCACAAACACACACATACACATACACGCATGCGCACAGATACATACACACATACACACACATATATTCATACACACACATATACACACTCACACACACACATTCACACACACACATACACATATACACGCGCGCCCACACTGACACCCATGCATGCACCGGTGCACGCGTGCACACACACATCTGCAGAGCAGCCGCCACATGCCGCACATTCACCTCCACTCCCATCCACCATCCCTCTCCCTCTCCCCTGCCCTGCTGCTCCCCCTCCACCCCCCCCATGCCTTCCACTGCCTCCGCCTCCATCCTCTCGTCCTCCTCTTCGCCCCTTGACCACTACGCCACTCCCCCCCCCCCCCACCCCACCCCCTCTTGCTTCCGCCGCACGGCGCACATCAGCACGGGGGTCACCATCCGTGCGGCTGCAGCAGCGCACTCCCCCGCCGTAGCCTGTGCGCCCCCCCTCAACGCCACCAGTGCTCTCAGCAGAGCGCGCTCCCGTGCCCGCAGCTGCTCCCTGCGACTGCGTGCATTCGCCTCCCCCTCGCCGTCTGCCACTCTCCCCCTCACGATAACACCTCGCTACCCACTGGGTCAAAACGAGGGTGTTAGTTGGCACAGCGGAATGCCCATTAATACTGCCCGAAGGCGTTGTACTCGTCCCCCCTTGTTACCAACATCCCCATTGGCCTCGGACTTCAGGGAGTCGCCCCCCTGCACCTGGGACCTAGATTTCAGGAACGTTCGCTGGGTTCGAGCTGGTAACCACATTTCATATCTCACCACAAGCGGAAAATGTGGACCAGCCAGGACTCGCACCCTAGGCTCTGAAACCAGTATAACACCTTGCTACCCATTGAGTCAAAACGAGGGTGTTAGTTGGCGCATTAACACTGCCTGCAGGCGTTTCACTCACTCACTTGCTGCCTCTCCCATTCCCCTCTCGCGCGCGCTCCTCTTGCGTGCGCTCCTCTCTCGCTCGCTCTTCCATCCTGTGCTCCTCCCTGCTGCGCGCATCTCAGAGGGGAAACTCGTCCGCGCGGGTTGCGCATGGCAGTGCTGGCGGGCAGCTTCAGCGGGGTGGCGGCACAGAGGCAGCCGGGAGAGGCGCAAGACGGGGAGAGCGTGGCACTGGCAGCGCACAGCTGGTGTCGACAGGTTGCGCTGAGCACAGCAACGGGGCAAGGCGCAGAGCCCAGAACGACGCGGCGATCATGCGTGCGACGCGTGAGGCGACGCTGACCGATTGGCCAATGAAGAGAAAGCGAGAATAGTGCGCTAGGAAAACCTACACATGTGCGTAGCGAGCGAGCCGTGTGTATAACTTGGGCAACACTGATTGGCATTTGCATACATGCAGGTAGCGGTGCTGGTAACTCATGTAGTGAACCCACATGCATCTGCTATGTTCATACGGCGCGGCTCGGTACAGGGCGCGGAGGTATTGGAGACGCGTGGGGTGAAGTCGGCGCTCCAGAATCCCACCAGTTATGGACCTTCCGCAACCCTGCGTGGCTGACAGAAACCCACCAAATTTCCACGGAAATTTTCTCGCCTCCCCAAAACGCGAAAGAACCCATGTACTATGGGTCGCATTGTGGCGCAAGTGCTTCAAGACAACCATCATGTCACAGGCAACGCACACGCGCCCCCGTCCAACACAGCGGAACCTGCTACAGCTCCCTCGCAAAACATGTCCGTGTTCATACCAACGCGGAGCACCCCAAACGTGCAGCTAGTAATCTTTGGGGCCCGGATGCCTACGTTCCACCCCCAGCAACTTATCAACAGCATACACCTCGCACCGCGATCACAGATTCCACTAGCACCTGCGTCGGTTGCGTTCAAAGACCACCAGGATGATCAAAACACGCACGCCAATGGATTATTCACGCCTCATCCCGACAATCGGACGGACGGACCACACTACGTGGCCGCGTACGGCCCCGTATCCCAGCCTTTTGGGATGCCTTTTCGTGGCTACGTAGAGCCGCAGTACCAGAATTTCGGGTTTTGTTTCGGGTACATTGGCGTACAACCAGATCCCATGGTGCATACACCCGCAACTCTCGCGACGCCAGCAGCCGCTACCGCCACCCCATTCACGAATGCGATTCCTACGCTAGAACCACCGACTGCACATACCCCGCCCGCTCCACAGGTTCCACTCATTGTCCGTGGAGACACACTAGCGCGTACCACAGGCCCATCATCAAACGCGATTACACAAGGTGTAGAAGTTCATCCACGTGCACCAATTGGTAATGATGCGGGGACAGGTGTTCACGCAACGCCTAGTGCCGAACCCGGAATAAATGCCAGCACTCGTGTACCTTCACCTCCGATATGGAACGTAATCGCACTGTTGCCAGGGAACCAGGACGTGCACATCCACACGCCAGCGCAATCCACTACAACGAACATGACCGGCCGGGCTAGGCAACCCTAGGCAAACGGTGGGAGGGCAAACGGAGGGAGAAGGAATGGTGGGAGAGCAAACAGAGGGACAGTGAACGGGGGGAGAGGGAACGGTGGGAGAGGGAACGATGAATGAGCGAACGGAACGAGGGCAAACGGAGGGAGAGCAAATAGAGGGAGAGTGAACGAAGGTACCGCGAATAGGGGTACTGTGGATAGGAACGGTAGGAGGGCACCGTGCTCGAACCAGCTGGTTAATAGGCCGTGTGCTAGGAGACTATCTGCAACGGGATAGGTGAGGGGGGTGTCAGTAGATCTGCACTGTGGATGCCCGATTGATCCTACGGGGGGTTACAGGCGTGTTTGCCTGGGGGGTTATGGGCGCACTCTGACCCGCTACTTAACAAGCCCTTCTATCCCAATGGTCTATTGACTGGGATTCTGACATGGTGTCAGAGTGGTCTCGGGTTCGAATCCCGGTGTATGCACATATAGGCCGTTGCCGCTGTGCTCAGTCCTGGGCCTCCCAGTGTGGGGGGGTGTCAGTAGATCTGTACTGTGGATGCCCGATTGATCCTACGAGGGGTTACAGGCGCGTTCGCCTGGGGGTTTATGGGCGCACTGACCCGCTACTTAAAACAAGCCCTTCTATCCCAATGGTCTAGTGACTGGGATTTCTGACATGGTGTCAGAGTGGTCTCGGGTTCGAATCCCGGTGTATGCACATGTAGGCCATTGCCGCTGTGCTCAGTCCTGGGCCTCCCAGTGTGGGGGGGTGTCAGTAGATCTGCACTGTGGATGCCCGATTGATCCTACGAGGGGTTACAGGCGCGTTCGCCTGGGGGGTTATGGGCGCACTCTGACCCGCTACTTAACAAAGCCCTTTTATCCCAATGGTCTAGTGGTTGGGATTCTGAGAGGGGGGGAGAGGGCACGAGGGACGATCAGGATGATGACGATGAGGATGAAGATGTGGACAATAATGATGGCGACGGGTGGAATTCGTTGTCCGCGCTCAATGAGGAGGAGGCGGATGACAACGAACGACTGACGGTACCGCGAACTGTTGTGCCAACACATTACAGTGGCACGGTCATCGCACTCCCATTCAGCCTACAAGACTGCTCAGCTTCTGGAATTTTGTGGGGAGGTTTTTCAACATGTTTTCTTCAAACCCTCAAAGTTTCAGAGTTTTTGAAGCAGTTACCAAGGCATGAAAACATTTTATGTTTCAAGACTTATGGCATCCCGGAAGTGTATGTTACTCCTTTTTAGTAACACCCGAGTTCACCATTTCGGCTGCTGACTCGTCTACCGAGCTTTGATTGGTCTGAAATTCAGTCTGGCAGTTCTTTGCTCCGCTGTTCAGGTGGTTACCAAGTTTCAGAACTATCCAAAATCTGAGCATTGCGTGACAGCTGCCGAAATTCACTGTTCCGTAGTCATGGTGCACTATTGGCAGCATTTCCCTTGCCACCCTTACATTGTTGTCATGCCAATGGTGCAGGGACAGAGAATGAGACAAGAAGTACAGGTGGTCAAGTGGGACTCTACAGCCCTCCTATTGAGAAGTGTGGTCTTCCTGGAACCAGCTTGCAAGAGGGTGCAAGTGGGAAGACAAGCTGACTCATGGTTGGCTTAACTCACAATTGGTTGCCTTGAGTACAGCTCTGAACATCCATGTGTGGTTGGCTTTGCTGACCTAGCTAGGACGTTTCCCATCCTTCTCTAGCCTTTCTCCCCTAGGACTCAACCTTCTCTGAGTTCCCAGGATGATCCCAACCCCTTAAGAGTCCCCTAGGCAATGCTGTACCTCACCTCTTCCTTGCATCAATGAGAATACACGTTATTCAGCCGAGCTTACGTTTTCGTTCACAGCGTAGCGCATACACCTCTAATGAAAGCACGCAATACACCGTTGGAAAGCAGACACTTAAGGCTAACTTCTGTCCAGGTTTCAGCCTCATGTGTTATTGGAGCTGATCGTGACGGCGTTTTGAACAGAGGCGGTTTGAAGACGTCAGATTCTGCTTGGGCGGTTTCATGGGCATCCGCGACCTCTAAGTGGACTCTTGACTAAAACACGAACAGCCAACCAGACCCTGATCGCGGATTGGAACAGGCTTGGTGTGGACGATACCTCGGCCGTGAAAAGAGAGATGTGCATGGGTATCCTATACGGTCTCTCTGAGGCAACCCTAAAGAACCG